TTGACAGTGCCCCTACTGTACTTGGTGACAGTATTATGTATATGTATTTGATAAGGGTATGAATGAATGTAATTATGCGAGGGGAATTGATGTGACATATGGAACCGAAGATCATCGTTATACGATGTTAAGTTCAGGTTCACTCTGCACTGATTAAAAAAAAAACGACTCCCCCCAAAACGTGACAAGACAAAGTCGTAAGTTGGCTGGTTTGTTAGTCAGTTATAGTTAACCAGCTAGTCAACCTAAGTTACGGCCTGGTCACATTCGTACAATTTTCATGTCGTAGGATTTTCAAGCAGACTGTGACAGACCTAACTTCCGACAAGAGTCTTTTTTTTATTCGTTCACATAGAAAAGGGTACAAAACATGGTGGTGCCGCACTTATTTTAAGTGGAAAGCACTTATGTTTACGGCACCACTAAATAAATACATATAATAAAGAAAAAACAAACGCAACTTTAAGACAGGCAAAACAGTAAATACAGGAAATTCAAAAGCGCAAGTCCGATTCCCCACCCAATGATAAATGATGGCAAAGAGAGGACACAATACATAGATAACAAAGGGGGAAATTGCCACTTGTGCCCACTACAAGAGTTGCAAATAGTCAATCCCAGCTACGACTGCGGAATGCCCACCACCTGCACATCCCCCGGAGTAGAACAAACACCTACAAAAACAGTTTCTTCCTGTACACTGCACGCCTGTGGAACCATCTACCCAGTGAAGTCACAGGGTCCGCCACAGTTAGAATTTTCAAGGCCAAATGCAGGAACCACCTCTCATCAGATTACTAACTTTTAAACAACTTTTTAACTTTTCTGACTTTCCAACCGTTCCATCTTTCCCTTCCACTTTTGATTATAGATATTATCATGATTACTTTATTAATTTGATGATGTTGTGTCTTTGATATTGTATAATGCATTGATATGTTTTGCTATTTTGATATTCGTAACTTGTTGTTAGGTCCTGTATATTGTATTGACTTGTCCTGTGTTGTGTTGTATGTACCAGTGGCAGCCGCCACCAGCCTTTGGCTGCCTGGCTCCCACTTGTAATGCGTTGTTTGGCATCACCAATAAATGAAATGAAATAACAACAATGAAAAATATAAATGTTCTATTGGCATGGCGTCTCCTTTTAACACAGAAAAACCATCACGCAGAAAAACCATCACTAATCTTGCTATCCTCCTTTTTTATTATTCAGTAAAACTTACATCTGGATGTTGCCTTTTTCATCAAGTAAACTTGATATGATTCCCCTATCAGAAGGACATTCGTTGCCTTCACTAAATAAGTAATAATAATTTATAAATCTTTGCCTTCCTGTTAGTAAAACGTTCACGTCTGTGGCAGACCATCATTTTTTAAGACTTGTTCAAGTTGTTGCCTCCCAAACTTCTATTAATTCGAGTGTTGCCAATTTTTACCAAGTGAACTTGGTTTGATTCTGCTATCAGAATATCACTCTGTGCCTGTATATTGTATCGTAAAAAGTAACAATAACAATAAAGGTAATAAAAATATTTAAATATGCATATTCTATTTGCACAGCGTATGACAGCATGACCATTCCCAAATGTGCTATTTTTTACTAAAATTCAGAACAATTTACATCTGGATGTGTCCCTCATTTTTTTTAAGTAAACTTGACTAAATAATTAATAATAATTAATAGAACTATGCATTTTTTATGGCACAGCGCTCACTTCCGTGACAGACCACCGTTTCTTAAGACTTGCTAAAGTTGTTGCCTCTCAAACTTCAATCAATTCGAGTGTTGCCAATTTTTACCAAGTAAACCTGATTTTATTCTGGCATCAGAAAAAACATAATGTGCCTGTACATTGTATTGTAAAAAGTAACAATAACAATAAAAGTAATAATAGCGTTTAAATATGCATATTCCATTTGCACGGCGTCTACTTGTATGGCAAAATGACCATTCCTAAACTTGTTATTTTCGTGTAATATTCAGGAAAATTTACATCGTCATGTTGCCCCATTGTTTATCAAAAAGTAAACTTGACATGATTCTGCCATTAGAATGACATTGTGTGCCTTTACAAATACGTAATACGATAAGTAATAAAACTATCCATGCTCTTATGCTCTGCATCGTTAAAAGTAATAACAATAATAAAAGTAATAAAGCCAAAAAATAATGAATATTTCAATTGGCACAAAGTCGATTTTTACAATTCCTAAACTTGCTACCTTCCGCTAATTTTCAAGAAAACTTACGTTTAAATGTTCCCTCTCTTTATCAACAAGTAAACATGATATTATATTTCCATAAGAAGGACATGTGTGTGCCTTGTCTAAATAAGCATACAATTCTATGGAAAGAAATGTGACTACCATTGCACATTGCTGCTTCATTCCATTTAATATTTCTACTGTGTTGTATTGGAGAAAATGTTGGTCTTCCATAGTTTCATTGTACAATACTGTTGTATTCTATTATATTCAGTATTTCTTCTGTGTAAATGTGTCTTGTAGGAACGTTTGAAGAAATGTTAGACTAAACCATTTATATAATCCCCTGTCAACAATTTTACTAGTTAGCTTGACTGCGGATGGCCGGAGAGTCGCTGTACTGTACGTAGTGGTGATAGTTCCACCCGTTGCCTATGGACATCCTAAAAAAGAATTAGAATAATCAGTAATGAGATGTTAAATGATTCAGTTAAGACATTGATACAAGAGCAAAAAAAATGGTATGCCGCCTTATTTAAATAAGTACTGAAGCCATGCCATGTTTAAAAAAGCCTGCAAAATGGTTTAAAGAAATAATGCGGATGCAGATGCAAGAAGTACCTGGAGCAGTCTGGCATATAAAATTAATCAGTCCGTTGCAGTCAAAGTCGTTCCACATGTTTTCCGTGGATTCGACTTCTGAGTAACTGACGCAATCTTCGCCATCCCCAGAGTCGTTCGGTTCTCCCATACCCCAGGAGTTGTACGGCCCAAGTGCAGAACCGTCCACCCACTCAAACCTTCCCTCTTCTCGCTGATCGTGCAGGCCGATCCAGAAAGCCCGATCGCTGTGCACGGAATTGTACAGGGAGACCAGGAAGGCGTTGGTCTCAGCGTCTCGGGGCATGGCGAGGGTGCCGCCATCTTCGCGACAGGCCGCGGCCGCACCGTTGAAGTTCTTTCGTGAATTGAAGGCCTTGTAGCAGATTCCACGCCACAGTGTGTAACCTTCAGGACAAGATGCTGGAAAACATTGTTTGTATCAGCAGTAGGCAAATCCTGATATACATGCAATATATGATTCATTAATAATATATCTACCCTCGGGTTTGTACTCAATAACAAATATTCAATATGACACAGTAAAACGTTGTGTACTTAAGGCCACACACACACACACACACACACACACACACACACACACACAACACACACACACACACACACAATTTTATGGTATCACGCATTACCTTCCTTCCCAATCTCGTGAAGACGCTGCTCTAAGGCGGCAGTTCGGGTTCGCTCGTTGTCCAGGTCGCGTTTGAAGGCGTCAACAGTTGTTGAAAGTTGGCGCATGTTGTCTTGGTCGCGTTTCAAGGCATCAACGGCATTGGTCAGTTGGTTGATGTGGCCTTGGGCGCTTTTAATTGTTGTGGACAATTGAGATATTTCCTACAAACGTACGTCAGAATGCCGAACGTGAGAAGCAAACTTACGAAAACTTGCTGAAATTCTTCATTGTACCATCCGTAAAAGCAAATTGAGAATGAGGAAACAGATGGACAACGGGCTTAATAATACAGGACTATTACCTCTTTATTGCTGAACGTCAGAGGGGCCAGTCCCAGGCTAAGCAGCACGGCGATGCCGGCGGCGAGGCAGCTGCGGTGGGCGTAGAGGAAACTACAGACACCCGGGTACGCGCGGTCTGGTAGGAAACCATACTTCGCTCAAGTTATTGTGTGCGTCAACACTTACACATAGTGATGCGCAGTTTGAACAAATTTACACATGTCACATGTATGAAATACGTACTTTTTTTACCAATAGAGATAATGGTACTATTGTATTGAATGTGCAAATCGCCTTTAATGTTCCACTTGCCATACATTACATAATATGCTCTATGTATCTATTATCAAAAGCAATGAAATTAAAAGATTTTCTTATTTGAATTTAAACTGTTTTGCCTGGAATGCCGGCGTTCTTGGCGTTGAGTGTGTTTCTAACGTCGTTCACACGTGCCTGGTGATCAGTCTCGGGTTGGTCCATGGAAGGGTCGGCTGGCCGAAAAAATCAAAACACAGATATTTTCATTTCTGAAAAAGGGCCTCTAACATACGAAACGAACAAGATAGGTACTATAAACGATTTACCCGAATAACAAGTACCGAAATTGGGAAAAAAACATAATGATGGGAACTATTTCAGTGATATATATTGTTAATTTTTCGTTTATTGAAACCACCTAACCGGACCCCGGTTTGGAATTGTGACCTCAGCACCAGAAGGCAGAGAAATAGTTCCTCGGACGTGCAAATTTACAATGGTTTCTTTTGTGCTTAACCCTCAACAGTACACCTTCCCAGACTGATTAATCTGTACACCTGGGGTCCGCGTGGACCTCAAAGCAGTTTTTTGCTAATTTTTGAAAAATTATCAACATGCTACCAGCTCATTTGTTTTGCAAATGGATGTGTAAACCTCTAAGTCCACATTACGTACAAAAATTATATATTTTGACCTCTTACATTTTTTTTAGTGAAGAAAAGACAAACAGAAGAAATACCCGATTTTTAAACCCTATTCAGACCGAGTTATTTTTTTAGGCCCTCGCCAACTTTAGTCTCAAATAGCGCCTGAACGACTTGAGCTAGAACCATCAAGTTTGGTGACCTTTCCTAAAATTTATCTGGGAAAAAATTCATATAAGTTTATCAAGTAAATGATTTTTCGTATTGCCATGCCAACGGGTTTCTGACAGGCATTTGATCTGTGACGTCACACATTTTACCCGGGTTTACGAAGTACACATCTTTAGTATGTGTATCTGGTCTGTGACGTAACAATTGTGTCCTGGTGTACTGCCGGCAACCGGAGGGGTACCTCTCGGTGTTCTCTCGGTGAGGTCACGACGTCTTTTTGTCAACGGGGCCCAGGTAGAATTAAAAGTCAGAATTAAATTCTTCTTGGGTCCCGGACGAGCCCAAAAATAGCCCGGTAGCCGCAGGGCGTCCCGCGGGGCCACGTAGGGGTCAAGCCCGAAAGTGCCTTTAAACAGCCCGGGAACTACCCGGCAGGGCCCCTTTTTTCAATCGGGGCTGAAGCATAACCAACAATTACGATCATCAGGGTCACCCACAATGACGGCATAGACGTACTGTGTCTAAATCGGTTCATATTTGTGAAAATGTAATTTTTTTACTGCTATGGGGCACACATGTAAAATGGTGTTCGAAGTGGTGGGTATACTATAAGTGACCGCGGATGAACCTAAATCAAACGAACGTTCGGTTCGAATTACGTCAGATCGAAAATGATTCGGTTGGAAAAAAAAGTTGGGCCTAAATTTGACCACCGTGATCTGTTAAAAAATATTGGGCCTTTAACATACGAAACGAGAAACACAGATAATATAAACGATGTACAAACGAACAACAGGCACATATAAGTTTTGAAAAATACTAATGGCAACTTTTTGCGTATATTATTGATTTAAATGATAATGCTTTTGCTACATTACAAAACTGTGTTCTCAACAAAAACCTACCCAAGTAGGCGAACAGTATCACAGACCAATCACGGTAACTTTAAAAAAAATCCCCAGCTTAAGTGAGGTTACAATCACAAAGCAAAGAAAAAACAGGATGCAAGAAAAGAAAGGAACATGAAACGCTTCACCTGGTATGTTGGCGTACGTGACGTCAGGTGTGTTTTCATCGTCTTCTGCGCGTGCCTGGTAATCAGTCTGGGATTGGTCCTGGGGTAGGTCGGCTGGACAAAAAACAAAGATGTAATATAGCATTTAAAAAAAATATTTGGCCTCTAACATACAGAACAAACAAAATATGAAAAAAAAACGATTTACCTGAACTAGAGGCGTACATAGAGTTGTTGAGTAATTTTCAAAGGGCGTTCGCAAGTGATCGCCAATACGACTGAGGCTGCCGCATACGTGTGGCGCCTAAAGAATAAGTTTTAAAAAAATGAAACTTGTATACAGTCATTCTTGGAGTGAGGCGTTTAACACAAGGTAGAATGTGCAAAGGTGACGTAAAGACGGTGAGCAATTTACCTTCATGAGATGCGTACGTATACATAGGGTTCTGCATGGATATGGTACCTGAGACAAGATGAGAAAATTAAATGCGTCATCTGCCAGAAAATAATACCAGTTAAAACGCCAATATTCTCGCAGCGGCGTTCCCAATTTATCCCCAACAAGACTGAGGCCACCACAGCAAACTTTCGTCTCGTAATAAAGTAAACGCTCGTCGCATTTCCGAACATTCGTGGCCATTTCCGAGTGAACGAACTTTAATTCCGAATATCCGCGACATTTTCGTGACTTCTCGGAGTTCTTGTGGGAATCACCACTTCCCGAAGATAACATGGCGACCGTAGACGGACCAGACCTTCGCCAGGTGGATTGAAGTTGTAGGTGCTGGTATTATAAATTTAGAGGGAGTACTGGGGTTGAATTATCAATGTTAGAACTAGCTTAGTGTTTAAGCTGGATTGGAACGTGAATGGTTTGGGTAACTCTGGACTGGAACTTGTGCAGGTTTTCATAAATTGCTGAACTCGATACGTGGGTAAGAAAAACACCACATTAATTTTTGGAACAGCCCATTGTGCTGGCATATATTATATGAATGCTAGAGATATGTCTGACTCAGTCAGCCTTCCGGATGTGCGTTTCTGACTCACAACTCCACCAACAGCCGGGTTCTATTTTGTTGTCTCAAACAATACTGTAGGAGCTCGCCCAGCATAGCAGACTGTATTTCACACTTGTCACCAGCATGACATTGATGTGCTACCTATATGTGTCAAGTATTTACATACAGTGAATGTGTGAAGTATTAACATACACATTTACAACAAGGTAATAAAAGACAGAAATGTCGCAATGAAAATAGCTACAAGTTTGTCAAAACTCCGGTCAAATCCTGACATAAACTTGTAGCCTCTACTAGACTTCGAGAGGCGGGTGGAAAGAGTACAAATCGGCCAGATAGAGAGATAGCATGTCAGGGGAGTTGGTCTGGAGAGAACAGCGGCCAACTGTCCTCCCCGGCAGACAAGCTCCCTTAGCATGCTTTCTCTCTATCTGGCCGACTTTTACTCTTTCCAACCGCCTCCCGAAGCCTGGTAGAGGCTACGTAAAAGGGACATTACACCCCTTCTGACACACCTTCATTCACCCTACCTGAATTTTGCGTAGAAGAAACGAATACAGAGATTGATAAATATAGCACAGGGATTCTTTGTTTGTTTTGGTTGAAGATTTCTTAGTCATGTGTAATTAACGGTGTTATATATACACCCTTATGAAGTTTGTGGGCGAAGGCAAACAAAAAAAAAAGTTGGAGAAGAACCATGTCTAGAATCGTACGCTGATCATATATTATATAAATCAGCAATTGGGGAGACAAATTACTTTGCTGGTCCGTCTACGGTCGCCATGTTATCTTCGGGAAGTGTGATTCCTAATTTCCAAGAACCAGGAAGTCACGAACATGTCGCGGACATTGAAAATTGAAGTTCGGTCGCTCGAAAATGGCGACGACCGTTTAATAAATTCGACAACCGTTCTGAGAAAAGGCGACGACAGTTTACGAGACGAAAAATCTATGCCTCCGCATGGGTGTGGCAGCTGAGAAAAAAAAAACAATTCATAAGCTTTTTCTAAGCTGCCACACCCATGATGAAAATGGATGTTTATCTTTGTCCATTAATCTTCAGCCAATTAAAATTAAGGAAGACCAATCAAAAATGAATTACGAGAAATAAAAATACCTAAATGCTTAATAGAATTTCGATACAGGACAGTATTAAATAGCAAATAAAATTATTGAAATTCTTTCTTTGTTTTCTCAATAGTCTTGAACAAAAAAAAATGCACAATGTCATTAAAGAATTGTACATCCTTACGTTTGTCTCCATCCTGAGACTGTTGCTCCTCTTCCGACATAATGGCACTATAGGTTTCTGGACAGCGAAATAAGACGTCCTACTCCTGGCAGATCGTAAATTTTGCCCAGTTTCTCTATAGAGCCCCACGCAATACAATTTAGAAAAGGAATCGATATCTTAAAAGAGAGAGAATAGTCAGCATTCTTGTCTTTGTAACAAACGAACCTTTTAAGGTTTTACATCAAGAAACAAAAGATGCAAGTACCGATAAAGATGTGAACATGTTGTCGGTAATTTCTAGAAGATTTGGAAAAGAATGATAAAAGAGGTGTTCAAGTGTATTTTAACGTTTAAAACATGTAAAGAAATCGTAATCATCTATTTTCCACCTCATACCAACATCTTTTTGCCACCAGCCTGTTTTCCGAAAATGTAATATAGGGGAAAAAGAGTTTACCGCTACTTGCTCTTTGTCCGTTTTTACGCCCACAATAATTGTCTGGCTGCTAAGCTGCCAGAAGATCACGGGGATTACTTTTTAGTAGGAGTCCGTTTTTTGTACATCACGTGAGAAAGTTTTTTTTTCAAAATTAGATGGAGGTCGTAGAAACACTTATTTCTCCCGGTATCATTCAAAGCTGATTTTGCCAGTAAGACAGATGGTGTCCGTAAGTATGACAGTGTTTAAGGACTTTCTTAATCGACACAATTGGCATTGACGTCGGGACCATATTAATTTCACTATATTAATGTCGCAGAGGTACGTAAAAACGACACGACAGGAACATCTGTCCTTCTATGCAGACCATTAAAATCGTCAACAATGGCGTAGAGGGATTATCTTTAAAATTCATGTTTACATTTCACGTCTGCAATATAAAAATAAAGAAAATAATAATGCGTTTCTGAAAATATACGAGAAAATGGCTAAACAATTCATTCTTTTTATTCAAATAAACAATGTCTTCTTAATCTTAAATACAAATGATGGGGGGATTGTGAATATTATCCCTATAATTAAGATTGTCTGGCCTGCTTGTAGAATGTGGAGTGAATTTAATCACCTGTTTAACAACACGACTTTTCCAACACAGACAGAGAAAAAAAGTAACTTATTTTATTCTTGTCCTGCGGGGCCCATATATATATGGGTTTCACATACAGTAACATCTATATAGTGCCCTGTATATTTGCGATTTGGGGGTGTTTCTCGTGCAACGCATCACACCGCAGCGAAACGCAACGAATGCGAAAGTAACTACGCCGCCGCAGGGCAAAAAAAGTCAAAGGTCTGTAACCTGATTAAGACATGAAATTTTTGAGAACAAGGGTTAACAAGACGTTTCCAGTGTTGTACATTACGCTATGCTTAATATTAGAAATAATATATCAAAATAAAGGTATTTGCTTGTCAGTGACTTCTTTGTATAATTCTAATGTTTTTAAAACCAAAAAATTAGAACGTATTTTCCTGTAACTCCGTAGTGAGTTTGACCAGCATCTTTTTACGAAATCCTGAATTGATTTTCTTCATAATTCACAGGGAAGATATCGTCACATCAAGTTAATTCTGGTTTTCGTCGCTAGCTGGCGCTTTTGAATAAGTGGATTTGTAAAAGCCAACTTATGGGTAACCTCCATAATTCAGAACCTATATCTTTGTGTTCTCCTATACTATATAGTATTATGCAGGCTTTGTTGTCATAGCATCGCCTAAAAGTAACCTTACATTCTTATATACTGAGTTGTGATGATTGAGTAATATTACTCTAAAACAGATTCTCGAAGTTGTTTTGAACATTCTTTAGGCTTTTGTAGGTGTTTTGGACGCGTCGGCCGTTTGTTTTGTCAGCTTTTATTTGCGTAATGTGGGCAGTTTATACAAAGTAAAGCTAACAAAATACACAGCCTAAAAAGGGCACTCAATGGTAAAAACGTAAAAAACAAGAGTTCCGAGATCTCATACCTCATTGAAATATGGGCTTGATATGTAAATGTAAATTTATTTTTTTAATTACGCAAATGACATGTGCATTAACATAATATATGCATCGTGATGTTAACTTTTGATTAACTTGCAGATGTCAAAAGACATTCCCATAATTCACCATTAAGAAATCATAGAAAATGTTCGTAGTAATTATGCAAATCAGGCCATCATTTGCAGAATTAGTATCTGTTAATGTTCCATCTGCCATAGGTTACATACATTACATGTTTGAAAGTAGTATAATGTAAAACACTGTAATTATAGAATTTCCTCATTAATTATGTAAGTCCTATAATTTGCGTAACTTGCATTTAATTATGTACATCTCTCTCACAGCTACCTACCAAAAATGATGAAAATACTCTGTTCCTATCTGGACTTATTTGCTTTCAAAGATTTCGCCCGAAGGTCCCCTGCAGTTCCAGAACAAGAGGCTAGGGGGACCAAACCCACACCACTTATTCCTGCCAAAAAAATCTATTTGTCACCAGAAATTCAAGACCATAGCATGTTCAGAACAAAAGATACAAAACCGGAAGTTCTGCTGCAGTACCAAGGTCATCCACCAGGAGACCCTTATTTGACCTTGACCTTCGTCTTCCTAAGACTTACCAGCATACCAAATATCATCATAATACATAAAGGCGTTATGAAGTTATGCTGACTACAAATGTGCGGAAACACAAACACACAGACACACACACACACACACACACACACACACACAGACAGACGCGCCAAAAACAATACCTCCATACAAGACAAACCTCTGTTTGGGGGGTAGTAATAGTGTACAATAGTATTTTTGTACAGGGCTCGATTCAACTGTTACCGGAAAAGGAAATAACAGTTACTGTTAGCGTCATTAGAAGTGAATATACAAGCGCGTCACAAGCAACTATATCCTACCTGTATATAGAAACGACGTGGAGGCCAGGTATGTAGAGAAGGATCCTGACAACACTGAACTGTAAAGTTAGGGGGGCTGAGAACGGTCAAAGTAATACATTTAGTATGCGCCTAAAGAGATCTTTAGAATATTTGGCATGCAAAACTTCAAAATGAGTTGATTTAGAAGCTATTGTTCAATGTGAAGACTAAACAAACAAATATATGTTTGTCTCCTATGACCTGGTGTTTATGCGAGTGTCTTGAAATTTCGCACACCCGCGCGGACCCCAAAAGAAAATCAGATATAAAATTTAAAAAAAAAATGGGGAAAACTTAGATTTCTGCACTGTATTTAGGGACAACTTTGTGGGTGACAATTACATCAAATTATATAGAGAACATATTTAGAACAAAATATTACAGAATATATAGTGCAGGGGTCCGCGCGGACCCCAGGTGTACTGTTTAGGGTTAAACATGATGTGCTGTTTTTCAGGTATCGTCATGATGCTGCACCTCTGTGACTGGGTCCAAATCTACGAGCTCGTCCCCTCCAACAAGGACGACACAAACCTTCTGTATTACTACGACGAGACGGCAGTTCGATCGCCCCACGAACTACTCTCTTACGACCTTGAACGAAATTACGTCAGAACATTGTCGATGACTCCTGATAAAGATATAGAAGATACAGGCGTGGTGCTGCTGAAGGGTCTGTCACAGATTCACTCTGATTGATGCCGCCATGTGCTTTCCTCTATGTCTACTATTTATACAACAAACCGGTCTTTGATCTTATGAAACGATTTTCAAACATTAAACATTTATATCCTTCCACGAAAGAGGTATTAAATTGTCTGCCCTTTACAACAGTGAGACCCGAGCGCTAAATAAAACATTTTGTTTTGAAAATCCACTTCCAGAGTAGACTACCAAGGAAACACAACAATTTAAGCGCTATTTTATAAGTGCGTAACTATCGGCGAATTCATAACTTTGTGCGTACTATTTTCTATACCCAACTCCTAAACTCCGTGCATGTGGGATATCCCTGTTTTCCATTAAATAATATTATGTACTGCTACGTGTACGAAACTGTCCAAACAAAGTCCTTCCGACGGCTATCGTAAAGTCCCGGTTCCCAGAACTTCGACACGTAGTTTCCCGTCTATTTATAATGTACATGTAGACTGATGTAGTCTTTATCTACATGTAAGACGAAACCGGACACTGCGTTTTGCTAAGTTTAAGTCCGAGACAAAGATGTTCTCCCTCCCCATAACGGCGACGTAGAGTAACTCGCTGCTGCGGACCGACATTCCAGAAGAGTTTTTTTTTTTTTTTCATTCCAACATTTCATGATGACAGCACACCCAAGGACGAATACAGGACAAGACAATTGTCACTTGAGTTAAGTGAAAAAAGTCGTGTAAAGTGTCTTTCCCAAGGGCAAAAGATCGGTGGCATGTCAGGACTAACCCGGGGCCTCTTGGTTCCGAGTAGAGAACGCTGCCGCTACGCCACTCAACCCCACAACAGGAAAGTTTCCAATCTGGCTTGTAGGTTTTCCCACGGACACTAAGACCATGGGACACAAACCTGGGTCTTACGCACGTTTACGGCCATGTAGACTTGCACCATCCTTGGTACTGTTTCAGGGAGTTCACAGTTGTTAGTGATAGGACCATGTAAACGGTAGTATGGGTACTCTGCCAGCCCTGACACCGTGGTACAGTTCATCATGGACACCTGGCTTGTACCGCAGTATCAGGACTGGCAATGAGTCCACTAATCAAGACTTAAGATGACCCTAACTGTCGATGAATACATTCATAGGCCCCTTTGATCGGTACCCTAGCCCTGTTGGATCTTGGCATGGAAGGCGCTTAACTGCGCCAGTTCCCAACTGTAACAGTTCCAAACTGGTACAGATAAGCGTCTTTCATGCTGTACACTCGGCGACGATCTGTAGCCGACTCACCCGGGAAGGGAGTTAACGAGGCGCTTTTATACCTGAACAGGTTAATCGTAACATTCCAAATCATACAGCTCCAAAGCCAAAATAGCTCTTTACCAAACTGCACAATCTATATCTTGTACATGACTTACGCTAACATGGGACTTTCTATACAGTCCACTTCGACCTTCAGGGGTGTCGTGAACAATAAGTGCTACTT